ACTGCCACTACGTTTAGCTCCGCCGAGTGTAAATACATAAAACAGCGATATCCTCGTGACATAGCTCCTTTAGGTTGCCTGTTATATTGCAGCCACCAGGTACCATGTCACACTAACTAAATAACTACTTCTAACCTGTTTTGCTATCTCTTTGTCTGGATCTATCTCCCTTTTCTAACCTATGTTCAAGAAAAAGCACCTCGCATGCATCAGCGAAAAAAGCCAACTGGGTAAAGAATTAATTCACGTTCTAAGACATGAAGCCAGACAAAGTAAGGAACAAATCAGCTGAACATACCTTTCAAGAGGGCTTTCAAAATTGCAAGATCAATCTCCTGAGATACTGTGTTGGTCTCATCGTCAAGCCTGTATATTGAAATCTGAAGCAAACGCGACAGCACGAGTTTAGCATAGTAACAGGGCTTGAAAAAAATCTCGTCCGTTAGCCTGGGACAAGTAGATTTTCTTCCTGGGCGAGTAACTTTTGAAGCTCGCTTGCCCAATGGGCAAGAGTCCAGGCAAGACATCCTCTAACAAAATCATTAACTAAGACAAGTAAGAAGTCAAGTGGTCATAAGCAAGCAAAATGAGAGAGCTGCTTGCCCAAAGGACAAGCTGCATGGAATTCAAGTATTTTGGGGCCCCGAATAAAAATTTTTCTAAAACAATGATCCTACTTTTCCACGATCTTCATGTTTCTCTTAAATAAAAAATTATTTCAAGAAAATGTGACATGAACATAATTTAGTGTCCTTAGCTCCTACGAGTCTCCTGCAACTCAGTGGTAGAGCATCTGGACTACAGAGACAAGAAGGTCATAGGTTTGACTCGTATTGGGAGTCTAGCCTGTAGTGCAGGTGTTTTCTTTGGGCGCGCGAAGGTAAAGAGTCCTTGTTTTACGTCAGTAGCTCGAAATAGTCATCTGACTAACAAACCTGGGGCCGGCGGTGCGCTCATTTTACACCCTCCCCTCCCCGTCCCCCTCCCTCCAACAGTAGGGAGCTTTAGCAACTGGACGACGGCGACGGCAACCAGGACGTCAAAAAAGAAATAGGCTTGTTACGCAAAACAACAACTTTGCACGCGCATCACGCTTTTTTGTACATTTCTTTACCGTCCTTGCACGACTACGACGTGAAAATGCCTAATTGCAAGTTTTATGGAGGACGTAAACAAGCGACGACGAATCTCTTTTTCTCCCTCTAAACTTGAGTGCGGTCCTCAAGAAATCAACTCCAGGGAAATTCGCCTACATTTGCCATTTTCACCAAACTGGAATAAACGCGACAAAGATTGAAAAAACGGGAATTCATTTTAAAACTGACGTTTTCCATGCCGTTGCCGTCGTCGATGCTAAAGTTACTTAAAGCTATACGGAAAGGAAAGAAGTCGAAAGAAGGATTTGAGGTCACAATCGAACTGGGGATCTCCCGCAGAGAAGGCCGCGCACTAACCAAATGCACGAATCCTTCCTTCTTTTTGCTCGCGAAAGCGCCATGTTGCTATTTCTACTCTCCCCAAACTTGCTCTGTCTTAAATCAAAGATGGCGGCTACAACAATACAAACATAACCAAACAGTTTTCGCCCGCCCAAAATACACCTGCACTGTAGCCTATTGGGAGTCTTTCTCAAAATATTTATACTAGTAGTAATCTCAGATTAGAAAGTGCGTTCGAGCTTTTATAGGTTTACTGTCAAATGTGACGTTATTTCCTAATAAATTGATGCTGCAAAACGCTTCCTATATGTTGTTTTTTAAAAGAAACAAAACAAAACAAAACGACTACGAAAAAAAAGAAAAAAGTCTCATCCGGCAGGAGTCGAACCCAAGACCTTCGACGTGTAAGGGTAACGCATTATCCATTGCGTCACGCAACCATTGCTAAGATCGTGTCAAATTAATTGTATTTAACATTCTTGTGCCCGGCGAGATAAATTATTCAGATGGCGCAAAACGTGCAGACGTACGACGAAATGAGTACCACAAAGGTCGCCCTTGACTACCACAGAAATCTCAAGATTATGTGTTGCATCTACAAGTTGCTCACCATTTTTTCGTCCTCAAGGACTTGTTCAATCATCTTGTAATGTTTACTGACATCTTCCGGCTTCATAAAGGGAAACACTTCTGCCACCTTGGCCCGTACATTACCTTCAAACGCTGGGTCAATGATGTTTATAGCGGTTTTTCCTTCACTAAGTAGTCAACACCAAATGAGAAGTTTTTTTTAAATAATTAAAAGACAATTCACACCTCAGGTCAATTATTAGAAACAATTCATATTGTAAGAGTGTAAACCAAACAGAACGTTACGCAAAAAACCTCAACCAACCAACCAAACAAACATTTTAAGCTGCGCGGGAAATCTTGCTGTCCGAGCAAGGAAATACAAACGGTCCAATAACATGCAACTCGTGCAAAATATGGAAAAGGTGACTTGGAAACAAGAATACACTCAAGCGCAGGAAAAAAAAAAAACAGCAACAAGCGGCAAAATCATAAGCTACGGCCAATGTGGGAAAACAAGTCCCTGATAAATCATTGATGTTCAGAATTTAATGACGACAAGCATGGGGTAAATACAGATAACGTTGTAAAACTAAAAGTGCTCGAGAACAGGTGCGCCTAGCCTCCTTTGCAGCCGTTATTAGGATCATCACGCCACGCTCCTCCCAAGTGGGGAAGAGCGTTGCCTGACGACTCTAATAACGGCTGCGAATGAGACTAAGGTGCACCATGTGCGATGACTGGTATGGGAAAAACGGAATCGGTATACATCAAGCGTGGGACAGGTGCAAATAGACAAAACAACAACAGCAACAAAAAAACAACGAAGAAATATATTGCTTGATCGAAAAATAAAATCAATCAAAAGTTGACTGGCGCGTCCGTACCCAGTAACGAACGATTCTAGACTTGCCCTCAAGTCGAGCTTAAAATTTTTCTCGAGCGCAAAGCGCGAGGTAGAAATTTTTTACGTTTTCGGTGGAAAAGCGAGCGAGAGGGCGGGAGCCAACTACCCGAACCGGAAACGTGAAGCGAAGGACTCTGGGAAAGTCTCTAACGATCCCAGACACAATTACCGTTTTACGGGACGTATTTCGGCTCCTGTCCCCGTCACGTTTCTGAAGTGGTGAATGTCAGCGAGAGCAAAGCCATTTAAGTGAAAACTGAGGGAAAAAATTACATGAATGTCTACCTTGTTCACTCTGGGATTTACAAAGATGGCTATGAATGCTCACCATTTTTTGATGGTGTGGCTGTAAGCATAAGCAACCACATCAGCGGCTCGACCACTGCCGTCTACCACCACTGCAGGGATTTTCTTTTTAATCAGTTCACACATGGTACGGACTGTGTTTGGTCCACCTTCTAGTACTAAAAGTACCACAGGTACACCAATCGCACCTGTAAACAGATTAAAACCACTGTCCATAATGGTTCTTGCGAAAAACAATTCTGGCAGTCAATAAAAAGACATGTTTATAGTTGAGTTCAGTTTATATGAATTCTTTATATCTATCCATCTCATGTGTACTGCCCACAATTAGTAAGAGCTGGTCATTTCCGCCAAAATGAGGGGTTAGCAGGGTTGGGTTGGCTGGGTTTGTGGGAGAGGTGGGAAGGTGGAGTCTTGTAAAGTGTGGTTCTCGAGCCCATCTGTGGCCACTTAAACTACTTCTAATAAAACCTATAGAATGGCCATAATTCGGTTTGGGCACCACACAGGAAAGAAGAAACACACAGCTTAAGAAAGGTTACAAAAACATTTATTATTCCCCATACAAATCCTTATATTATGAAGGTTACACAACAGTACCGAATGTCATAATATTTAAGGCTAAGGTCACCTGTGTTTTGCATCGTCACATTCATGTTTCATTCATATTTGCTGGGGCAATTCCCACCGTAAATTTTGATAAATTTCATGACACAGCTCTTTTAAGCCTAACCTTTGAGTTTGCACTTGTTCTACTGTACCTGCAGCCGATCTAGAGTCAGTCTTGACCTTCATCACAGCCTCTTCAAATCTAGACCGTAAATCAATCTCCACACCGTATTTCCCTTCGGTGCCATTATCAACCAGTAAGAAATGAGAATGATTGGAGTCTAAGAGGGCCCCACTGGATCCTGGGACATTCTCCATGCGGTACATGGCTGGGTATAGACCATTCTTGTCCTAAACAAAGCACAGAAAAGAACATCTGGTGAAAAACTTGAAGTTAAATACAACCTACGATTTGTATTTCTTTCTCTTAACCCTTTCACTGCCAGAGTGAGTCCGTGGACGAAACCCTATGGAGTGAACATTCAAATGAAACCTCTCTACCTGTACTTACACATGGTGCTACTTGTTTTTCAAGATTTCACAAAATAAATTTGGGATTTTTTGTTGAATTTTACCTTTGGCCACATTTGGCAGTGAAAGGGTTAAGTAGCTGTGTTTGCAAACTGCCTGTTTAACTCTGCATTTAGGCTGTGCTTCTTGCACAGGCTTTTCCAAGGCTTGGTGGGGAACACGGACTTTTAAGGCGGGGTGCTGGAGACAAGCGCAGAATATCCTGCAAGCAGGCTCCCAAGTCGAGCGGGGCGTGAAAAAATCAGCCATGGTCTCATCTATACCCTAGAGGTACACAAACTCCTGAAGTATCTCAATTTTCAACACCGACGATGTTACAAGGAACTATATTCAAGCAGTCCACAGACAACTGTAGCAACATTACGGCACATGATAGTTTTACCTTAGTGGCTATCAGTGAGTCTTTTCTGTCAACAATGCCCCATGAAGCAACACCAATAACATTGACCTTGTCTTCACTACCAAATGTGATTTCTTGTTCTTTCACAGCTTCTCCCACGTGTTTCATTACTCCGGCATTGGTGCCACCTTTATTGACATAAAGCCAACACAAAAACATCAGTTAAAACAATGTAAGATGTTAAAACAATGTTAAGACAATGTAATCTATGAAAGCATCTACAGTGTTGCTGTATGAAACCACAAACACATTTTTAGGGGCTTGTGACGTATTGTCCAGGAAAGAATGCGTGACAAAACCTTCTTCTGCTTTCCAAACTATTGATCTTAAAGGTTATATCTGTAGTATCTGTGAAGCACTCTCTGATAAAGTTTAATGTGCACAACAACGAGACTTGCAGTCGCAATAAATCTTTATCACTTGACGTTCTTATTTGCAGATCATGTGATGTTGCCCCTGAGAACTGTTTCTTTTGGTTTTCCCGCTATCCACGTGCATATTATGCCTACAGCACTAATGAACAAACAAAAGGCAAATTCCCTTGCGAACATCGCATGGTTGGAATTGGGAAAATAACACCTAAAAGCTACGCAAAAAGAGGTCCATAGTGTTTCGTGGCCTGTAGAAGCCAGTTTGACCTTGAAACACAACAATTGTCTTAACTGTACATGTACATGTAATTCACTTTGAAAGTTTTTTCATTTGCTCCTTTCTAAACTCTAGCCTGAGTAAACAGCCGGCATTTGGCGACGCTACCACTGGTTTCCCCGCCAAATGACGTCTGAGAAACGAGTGCAGAAATTCCATACTGATGAAGCGTCACCACCCAGATCTGGGTAGTGCTTCTGATTGGCAACCAATCAGAAGCATTACCCATATATGGGTAGTGACGCGTCATCAGTATGGAATTTCTGCACTCATTTCTCAGACGCCATTTGAGGACATAAGAGATTTCTGAAACTTCTCATTCAGTAATTGAATATCTTGGATACGGGCGAGATAGAATAAGATTAGCCTGAGAGAACATTCGTTTCTCCTCGCTCTTCGCCGTTGGGGACGTTTCGCGCGAGGAGAAACGGATGTTTTCGCAGGCTAGAATAAGATCTGACCACGGGAAAAACTTCACTCACTATGTACTAGTTGTAGCTTTAACAAAAGCACCAGACTTTTTATCATTTTTCCAGACTTTATCGATATTTTCCTGAATGTTCTTCCAGGTCTGGAAAATTACTTTACAAATTTCAACACGTTTTCAAGAATTCAAGACTCTTTACGATTCACAGTAACTGTGGATGCTAGCCTGGGACCAGGTTCCGCAGTAAGGGGAAATGGCAAAAAACGGGTTGAAATAGCAAAAAAAACAAAAAACAAAAAATAACAAAAAAAATTTCGGCGAGCGAAGCCACCATTTCCCTTTCCCGGACTATACCGCTCGCCTCGATCCGCTCGCCTATCTTTCATTTTACGCCTTTTCCCCCACTGCGGGGCCGGATCCCAGGCTATGTTGATGCACACGATGGTTTTTGGTCCTTATCCGAAGAGACACTAGATGGTGTAACCAGATCGCACAAGTCAAAGTAAAGGCAGCATTTTCCCTCAGTTATATCATAGTTAGTAGAGGAGACTGGTTAAAAGCTGGCAAACATCAAAGTTGAAAACAACGGTGCTGTAGTTTATGTTGGAAGCTTCCTGACCGTGCACAATCCCGCGTTTTTTGTTCACAAATTGTGACTGAATAAATAAATGCGATGTTTCCATTGGTCAGTAAGTTCAAAATGGTAGGAATGCTATTGAACGTTGTGCACGGTCAGGTCCAAAAAAGTAACAAAAACCTATAGCAAAAGAGCCTAAGGGGTTTCATAACCATTCCACTTTAATAACTATGGTTATATAAAGATCCCGAGTGTTGGTCCGGTCGAGAATTGAGTCCCAGCCTACCCCTCCCCAGTAGGTTACCAACCAACTGAGCCAACCGGGTAACGGTCAAATTGCATGTGTATCAAGAGACGATACTCTTGGCTGTATGTAATTTAAAAAAAATGTTCAGATGAATTCAACCAAGAAACGTTTCACCCCATGTAAGGGAATGAGGAAACAGGAATCCGTGAAATTTTTGCTTGTGGAATTCGGAATCCTGGGCTTTGGAATCAAGGAAGTCCGGAATCCCACTAACGATTGGAATCCAGTATCCAAGTTCCACTGACAAAGACTGGAATCCAGTACCTGGAATCCGAGATCCGTGGCGTGGAATCCGGGATCTAAGACTGTTCCTGGGTTTCCTTACATGTGGCGAAAAGTATCCAGGCTAGTTTTGCGGGATTTATCAGTATAAACAAGGTATCGCGGGTCTCGAAGATAGAGACTATGATAAGAATCTCCCATCAAATTCTCAATCACTTCACCAACAATGGACATGTTAACTTCTTTTACATTCTTTTTGCTCTAAAAAACGAAGAATGGTTATATGTTAGGCAAACAAAGTCAGACAAAATCTTCAACCAGGACCTACGAACAACCTGGTTCAGCTTTATAAACAGAAAGAAGAATGGCCACAGTTTAGAACTTGCTTAAAATTAAAAGACAAAAACAAAACAAAACGAACCATCTGTTGCTGAAGCAGCGGCTTAATAACACTGTTGTTTGGAACCTGAAAAGGAGAATTTAAACGTCGATCAGTCACTATTGACGATTCTAGGAAACTGTCCCCACCTACCCCTCCCCTATCCCACATTTAACAATAATTTTTCAAGTAGGGTAAAATGTTGGGTCAACGGAGGGGTGGGTGGAAAGTTTCTCCGAAATGTTCTACTCATCCATTTATTACATAAAACTGATTCAGTGCTTTCTCAAGAAATAAACATGAAGTGTAGTACGAACATAGCCTAATAAAAGGGTCAGGATACGCTATTTTCTCAATTTTTTGCCTTACTTATATCAGAATTAACAACTGTTTAAAACAATACAAGAAATACAGAAATGTCAACAAGGCGCACGGGTGGGCAAAAACATTGGATTGCATCTCAGTGAAGCTAGAAGAGAGTGGACAAGGGGTCCTCCAAATTTGCTAGGTGGCAAGCAATAATTTTGTCAATAAAAAGCGTTTCATTTTTCAGCAATTTAGGTACAACCTTGTTGCTCCTTTGTCCCTTTAAGCATACCCTGCAACTTCTGTTAAATTTCTCACTGTTATTTCACGAGGTACTTACCCCAGTATACAATTGACATAGGATTTGAGGAGTAAGAAATTCCCTCATGCTCAGCCCGTTCCTAAGAAAGAGTTCTACAAATTCCGTCTTGTCATCAAGTAGAGCTGCCAACATGGGGTCCCTCAGGCTCTCGGTCTACATACAGTCAAGCAAAGCAACAGCCACTTTAAGTAACAGGTTAATGCTGCTAAGCCTATTTCCCTTTCGTAAAAGGTCGATGCCACCATTGCTAACCAAGCCTTAAGTCATTACAGCAAACTATACAATACAATACAATAACCTTTCTTTAACGTGGACAATGTTTTTAACTAATTAGATACTTTACAGACATGCCACGAAAAATAAATAAATAAATAATTAAAATAAAAATAATGATAGAAAGAGACGCTTTCTAATTAAAAACCTAGTCATTAAGGATGTAATGTATTTCCTGGATTAAGTTCCAATAAGGGTTGATTTCCAGTGTCGCGTAATTGTTATGTTTGTACGTGCGTAAAATTTTACGTTCGCAAATAGAATAGAGGAAATGCATGAAAGGTCGCTCGTAAGCGTAAAAGTTGAGCCTCGCTCAACTTCTCGTTTAAGCTCAGCACGTTTTATCTTGCCTCTATTTTATTTACATGATTAAAATTTATGTGCGTTAACGTGCGTAGCCAAAAGCGAGTCAGTGGAAATCAACCTTAAGGCAAATAATACGTTTCTGAATAGTCTTACAAAGAACGAAGTTGAAGCCCAAGTTGAATTTACGTTAAAAGTTATGGAAAGGGCTAGGGTCAATTTTTTATTGATGTAACAGTTAAGAAAGACAGTTCGCTAGTTTATTTATTTAAATATTTTGGAATTTTGGCGGGTCAGTGAGGTAGTGTAGTGGTAAGGGAAAGAGATTAGGATACGACAGGTCAGGGTTTAACCCTGGCTTGCGATCGTCTTTCTTTTTCATAGAAACACCCACAATAAGAGGTCAAATCAATACGAATAAAATATCTTATTATCTACAACTGGGGCTTTTCAGCGATAATTTACAACACTGCGTGGAGTACTTTGTCCGAATGCTTGTAGGCGCAAGTTGAAGTTTGCAAATGAAGTAATGAGCTATCGATGCATCACAGAGAGAAGGTAAAGTGATATAAACACTATGGGTTACGACAGAGATTTGGTTTATGTTCCTGGGCCCGGTTCCTGAAAGGCCGAT